GATTATGTCATAGGCAGGTGTACTATCTGTCTAAAAAACAACGTTCGTAGGGGTGTGATGGTTCCTCCCGGTTATATTCCAACGCCAACAGGTCCTATGCGTGAGTTAGTTGTGGATTTTGTTGACATGATAAGACCGGTAGGAGGTAAAAGATACATGTTAGTTGTTGTGGATAGATTTCAAGATGGCCGAGGCCTGTCCAACTAAGCGGAAAGATGCTCAGTCTGTTGCCAAGTTTTTGTGTCGTGAGGTTATAAGCAGGTGGGGACTCCCAGACCGCATATCCTCAGATAATGGAAAGAGTTCGTAGATAAAACAGTAAGACTAATTCTGCAAAAATTGGGAATTAAACAACGTTTAGGAGCTGTTTATCATCCGCAAAGCCAAGGGCTTGTGAAAAAATGAATGGTGTGTTAAAAAACCGCATTGTTAAAATCTGCCAACACACAGGTTTGAATTGGGTGGAAGCGCTTCCACTGGCGTTAATGGTGTGTCGTTCAAGTGGGCTCCGTGATTTGCGCATGACACCCCATGAGTTGGCAATGGGCAGACGGATGCCGACACCTTGTTTGCGTACAAGTGGCAAGGGTCCAAGTTTAGCCCTTTTAGAAGATGAAATGCGAGTGTATGTTAATTACATGGCTGCTTTACATAAGAGAATATACACATATGTCTCTGACAGGCAAAAACGAGAGAGGTGCAAGAGAGACTCGATGAGCAAAAGACGAATGCAGTGCAACCTGGAGACAAGGTATTCGTGAAGGTGTTTAGGAGGAAGTGGTTTAATGAACGCCGTGAAGGACCATTTGAAGTAGTCCGCAGTACGGGAACTGCGTCCAGGTTAAAGGGTCTCCTACCTGGTATCATTTATCACATTGTGTTAAAGCGCCAACAGAAGAGGTTCCACGATCACAGAACCGAGATGTTGAAAGCGCAAGAGAGCCAACAGAAGCTACGAAGCAGCAGAGGTTCGTGCAGACCCAAGGTCACGATCCGGAAGAAGGGATTGACCATGTTGGGGCTATGCATGATGATTTTGATTACACTTTTGATGATGTCAGGGATGACTTGTCAGTCCGTGAGCAAGAAAGACGATTTGGTGACATTGATTTACAACATGTCCCAGAAACAACAGAGTCTATTTTTCAGGAGCATGAGTCAAAGACTCCAGAGGGCTGTGATGCCTCTACAGGAAAATTCACAGACCCAGTTGGACCAAGGAGTCCAAGGCCAACCCGAAGAAAGGTTAGACCAAAACGTTACGAGGACTAGAGTAGAAGTGATTTTGGGAAAGTCAGTTCAGCTCCCATGTCAGTGTACAAAGGAAAATAATGGGAAAGGGAAATTCCGAGTCAAGTGGGAAGATAGCCATGGTAAGGTTATTGATTTATTGGGGACATCACCACTAGAAAAGTATGTGTTGCTTAATGATCGAAGAAGGTCAAAGATTGAGGGAGACTGTAGTCTTTATTTACGTAGATCTCAGATTGAAGATCAAGGTGACTATAAGTGTACATATTATGACCCAAAATTAGTAAACAGGGGAGAGCATAGTATCCAATTGGGGTTAGGTTACAGAAACAGTATTGTGACTTTAGTGGTACTAAATGAAACTAGAATTGCAAAACCCCTGGTTGTTGAAGTAGGAAAACTATCAACTACCATATCAACTCTCCCGCTGATTGAGAAAATAAAGCAGACATCCACCTTTTCAAAACTGAAGGTTACTGACGTCACAGAGATATTGCGTCTAAATACAGCTGAGCCTCAGATGATTTCTACAACTCAAATTCCTGTAAACATTGTGATTAAAGCTACGTTAGGGAATTCAGCACGCCTTCCATGTAAATGTGGAAAATGGAATAATGATGGTAATAATCCCCCTAATTGGAAAAATGCTCGTGGTGAAGAAATAGTGCTAACAGGACCTGAAATTAATAGTGTGCCTCGTGATCAAAGAAAGTATATTTTGTATAATCACATAAGGTTGTTTAGGGTTGAAGACGACTGTACACTTGTCCTAATCAATGTAACAGGGGAAGATCAGGGAGAATATACATGCACTTATTTGGATCCAGAGTTTAAATTTGTACCACATCACAATTATTGGGTAAAAGGGTATAGAATTTGTAAGATAATGCTTGTGGTAGAAGGCCTAGATCCTATTGAAGTAGTTACGGTGGCTAAAGAGGTTCAAAAGCAACTAGTCACTCCAAGGGTGACTGATGAACAGATGATGTCTACTACTGTAGCTCAGAGAATAACTAGTAGTATTAACGTATCAACTTTGGTTACTACTCTAGCTGCGAGTAATTTTACAAGTGAGGTTGTAAAGATGGGATCTACTATCAACGAAACAATGATGAGTTCTTCGGTGTCTACAAAGTCTGTAGGTATGATGTTGACATCTGTTGCTACATCTACATTAGTTAAGGCAGCTGAAACAATTCAGATGACTATGTCGAATCTGATTGGTGATTTTGTAGATGCTGACGGGACATCAGAAGTCATGACTAAACATCTTCATGCATTAGAGAAGCGTGAAACCCAATGGAAAGCTTATGGGTTTGATTCCTCGGTGTTGCAAATTGCAGACCCGTGGGCAAGTAGAAATATGTGGTACCAACAGTTGACTCACTCTGTTAGATTGGCTAGTAATTTGAGTGGTCCATGTGTTGTGAGAGTTCCAGCACCAGGCACATGGCCTTCAATTCTAGAGACGGTACCAGAACCTTTAACTTCTAAATGTCAAAATTATGCGCTATCGTGGTTGGTATTTAAGCAACAAGCACCATATGATTATTGGATGGCCGTGTCGGTGCATCTATTTACACCTCAAGGGAATTGTGCTTGGTTGAAGAACTTATCATATATAAATCTCCTTTATCAGTATGAAGATATTACAGGGTAATTTTACCATAGGAACATTTAAAGATATCTGGTGGATTTGTGGCGATAAGGCATACTTATTTTTACCTTATGGTTGGATTGGATGTTGTTATATGGCACAGTTGAAACTTCCGTATGATGTTTTTGTTATTTAGAAGGGACAAGGGTCTGATGAGGATAACTCTACGACAATCTCTAGCAGTAGAAAGAAAAGAGATTTGGCACAATTTCACAACTTGGAGTCTTATCATTGGAGGATAAGTTTGGGAGAGAAATGGGGAATAGGATTGTTTCCATGGTATGGTGTTACATACTTAGCTGATCATATTGATAATATTACATATACCCTGCAAGGTTTTGCAAACGAGACCATAAAAGGTTTTGAATATTTGTCAAATACTCAGAGGAGTCATCGATTGACGTTGCTGAAACATGACATGGCTCTTGATTACATTTTGGCCAAACAAGGTGGCCTCTGTGTAGCTTTGAATCTAACTGGAGAAGCCTGTTACACTTTGATTCCTGATGCTACTGACAATATGACTAGTGTCATAGATGCTTTGAAACTAATTAGGGATTCATTTGGTCCATCAGAAAGAGCGGGATGGTCTGCGAATACTTGGTTACAAGACCAATTAGGACCAGTAGGAGCTATAATGGTTCAGATTTTGGTGGCTACCCTTCTATCACTGTGTGTGATGTTTTGTTTTTGTACGCTGTTGTTGACCTTTGCTAAGGCTATGATATTGAGATGGGTAGGAGTTGTGATGCCAGGAGAAAACATTCAGATGCCGCTACTGAGTGGTAATGACCTAAGTGAAGGTGAGGAGGTCATAGAGATTGGAGAGAAATATCCATTTTTGAATATCTGAATTCAACATTGACTCACTATTATTTTGAACTGGAAGTGAATTGATAAAAGGGGGGAATTGAATATTTTAATCATGTATATTAATCATGTATATGTTAATCATGTAGTGGAATAATGTGAAAGTATGATACAAAAATGAATATCTTTGATGGTTTTGTATGTACAAAGATACTGGTTGTTGATTTTTCTTCCCAGGATGATATTTGGGAGACCAATGTGAGGGTGGCTGATTGTCCAGAGATCCTTCCAGATTAATGGAGTTGAAACAACCAAACTTAAGAAAATGGAGGATGGAAATGGACAACGGAAACCTGAATGAAGACATCATGATGAGGGGTTTCGATTGAAAAATCATTGAAGGTTTATTACAATGTAACTTGTATTGTTGATAAATATTTTTGTATGTTTTACTTTATAGTAGATATTTTTAGCAAGACATATTTTTCTGGAACTGTATGAGATGCATATATTGGGACCTCAGGTGTTTTCTTTCTTTATCGATCCTTAGGGAAAGTGGTGTTAGGTAGGGAGAGGTCCATTGGAAGGTGCGATGGGTCGACCAGCCTGACTTTGGACAATTTTTAGATTTTATTTCTGAGGTTTTGAATGTGTGCATTTATATATCATCCTGAAAAGTTTTCATAACCCTTTTTCTTTTTAATTGGTTTGGAGTACCATAGGTGGTTGCCTGGGGCAGAGGAACCGTGAGAGAGTTTTCCTGTCTAGATTGTTTGATGGATAATAAAGAAAGATAGCTGCTTGATGGGTTTTTCGCTCTCACACTCCACAAATAAAAATTTTACTATATTACTAAGGTTAAGCATGAACAGAAGTGATTCATATGAGGCTAATTAACGTCATAATTGTATAATTTATCTCGTTTGCGAGACTATAGTCTCGCTAGGGGGGACTATGAAGTGTCTGATGTAACCAGGACAGAGATAATATAAGTTTACAATGGGTGCGTCTTGTGATAGTATCTGAAGGAGATTTAGGAGTCCCCTTAGCTGGAATGTTTAAATTGGGGTGTTGTATAGGAGTATTGCCATATATGGTTGTGTAACTTGATGTTTTTATGACCCATGACGGGAAAACAGATGTTTAGATGCATATAAGCAATTGTCTCTGTGTGTTCGACAGAGATCATTATTGGCTTCTTGATCCTCCTGGTCAGACGTGACCAGTGATTCTGTTTCTTGCTTAAATAAAATTATACTCTTTGAAAGCAAGTCAGTCTCAACGGCGAATTTCTTCATCATCCAACATATCAACAACAAGGAAATCCACATCACAAGCCATCTCTGAAAACGAAAGCAGTCTGCCACGCGGTGACGAGCACGACAGGAGGGTTTAGTTTATTTTAAATACTATCTGGAGGGAAAGCTTCTTTACTGTGAGTTACCATGACTTGTTTTAATCACTGTAGTTATGTAGATTTACAGCAAGGCTACAGGTGTTGTCGTTTTCTCACTGTAGACTAAATTGATTATTATCGTAGAAGGATTTTGTTAAACTGGGTTATTCTGTTTGTGTGCATCACTTTGACAGAAGTTGCTCTCCGATAACTTGTTAACTTTGTTGTAAAATGTATGTTGTCCTCATAAACTAGGTTAAATCCGACGTGATTGAGTACACTGTATCGCCTATTTAAAGGTTTGTTTTGTTTGTTTTTTGTCGAGAAATGAAATGAATGAGAATGTTTGAAAACTGGCAGATCTGTGATGACAAAGTAGTCTATCCGAAGTTTATACTTAGCCTAATAAATGTTCAGTGTCCTTATTGTTCTGTAGACTCGGTAGAAGACGTAGGCTGTTTTCATTACTTTAGTACATATGACCTGCAAACAGTGTTTGTCTGTCAAATTTTAAATTGTCCTGCAACAAGTCTCGACAGGGATGCTTTCCTCGGCATAACATCGACAAGATGTCCATTAGCTGAAAAGTATGGACGTCTTCCCTGGAGAATGTAGATCTAGGTCTATTTCAGGGAAAGAGACAGACGAATTAGATCAAGTGTGTTTAAAAAAAGTTTGTCTTTTGTCTTCCTTGCGCTGTATGTTAGTCATAAACTTACCATATTGTCTTAATACAAAATGAATATAGGCCTAGGCCACAAGTCATTTCATGTAGGGTAGCCTATGTTCATGAATGAACTGGTTTAATAAATGATTGTAAACAGGCTTTAATAGGTTCATGACCTATGGTTTGACTGATGTAAAGACATTAACTAAGAATGCTGATTAAACAGTATTACTGGAACTACTTCAAAAGTTTGAATTTATCAGGATTTATTGACACCCTTCAGTCAAACTGAATCAAGATTAAACTAAATCATTGTTCAAGCAATAAAGATACTGCAATATGTCACCAAAGACTCTCACAGGTTGACTATATAGTTACCGGTCTGTGTCAGATTCTTCTCAACTTTAATGTTTCTATTTTTGTCCCTGTTTCAGATTCATGATGTCAGCCAAAGACACAATGAGACGGAATAAAACACTTCTTCAGTCAACGTTGTGCGGAGATAACGTAATAATCCTCAACAAGGTTTTTGAGAAGAATCTGATCACTGAGCGTGAGTACAACAACCTGAAGAGCATCAACAAAGAAGATGTGGAGGGCCATGTTATAAAGCTGGTGGATAAGATCATGAATAAAGGAGATGGGACATGCCAAGCCTTCCTTCACCTACTGCAAACTGACGAAGACATCAAAAACACTTGCCCTGAGCTGAAGAACATACAGCTGAGCGTCACCCGCCCGTTACCTCTGCCTATCCAAGCTAGTTCAAGTAATGAAGGAGGTATGTAAACATAGAGATTATGTCGACTGTATTGGATAAATTAGTCTACTGCGTGTCCACATGGTTTTGAAACAGCTTTATTTTGAGAGGTGTAATTCTGTTTCTTTCTGATTTCCTCAGACATGATGCCACCAGAGAGCAAGAGGCCAAAGCAGGTGAGGTCTTAAATGTATTTTAAAATAATGTCTCTATAGGTTACAATGCATTTATAGAGAACATGTTTTCATATCACTGCCTGCAGATACAAGCTAACTAGCTTTTATTAACTAGTCTCAATATTCAAATCCATAATTCAAATTTTCTTTTAAAGCACTGTCAGCAATGCCAGTCAGAGTAATTAACTGAACACTATCTCTATGCAGATGACTTTTTATGAAATATTATAAATGTTTTTGTTATTAAATGTGTTTATCAGAGACTGTAGGCCCTATATATTTAAATAGAACTGCAAATATGCCAAAATCAGCCAGAGGGCAAGTTGACAAGGTACCAGACATGTGAAATCGATGAAGAGAATACAACTATAACCAATGGAGTAAATCATCTTAATTACAGTGTGCAGAACACAGAGTATTAACTCTCAAACAAACGGGAACCTGATTCCAAAATGGTGAATTCAAGGAAGCTTTTCAAGGTCTTTTGTCCTCAGCGTCTCAAAAAGTGCAGCTTCAGGCTCCTATAGGAAGCTATGCAGCGTCATCATTCAGTGTTTTTTATGCCTCAAAAGTGCAAAAACAAGCAAGGCGAGAGAAAAAATATACTGGGAAATCTTTGATCCTGGTTTTGTTTTTTAATTAAGATACGTTTAGATCATAAGTTTCTATTAAGTTGGAATGTAAACTGTGACACCCCCTAGTATTAAAATATACAATATTAGCTTTGTAATGTTGAAATACCATAAACAATTCAAACTTTGAGAGTAAAACAAAGATTTCCCGTAATTAAAAAAAAAAACAAGTAGAAAATGTGTTTTGAAAAAATTATGTACGTTTGTTTTTAGGATGTTTAATAAAGTTCATGAAGTTGATCTTTATACTACAAGTGTTGCTGGAGCTTTTTAACCTCTCCTCGCCTTTCATTCTCCGTGAACCTTGGTAGTTTTTGAAGTATTCCCAAACCCCCACTCTGCTTCTACTTTGTTTTTAGGACGATCAATATCAGCTGAACAGCCAACCGAGCAGCCTCTGTGTCATAATTAAGAATGAGAATCAGAAGAAGGCTGCAGTGAAGAAAGTAGCAGTCAAGAAGTCCCCAAAGAATGCATTAGCCCAGAAAACCCCGGTGAAGAAGGCAGTCAAAAAGCCAGCAGCCAAGAAAACCCAGGTGAATAAGGCAGTCAAAAAGCCAGCAGCCAAGAAAACCCAGTGAATAAGGCAGTCAAAAAGCCAGCAGCCAAGAAAACCCCGGTGAATAAGGCAGTCAAAAAGCCAGCAGCCAAGAAAACCCCAGTGAATAAGGCAGTCAAAAAGCCCGCTGCTAAGAGATCCAAGAAGGCTGCCCCAAAGAAGGTGGTGAAGAAGACTCCAGTGAAAAAGGCTCCAGCTAAGAAGACTGCAGCCAAGAAGGCCAAGAAGTAGATCTGCACACCAGAATTCAATGCCTCAAAGGCTCTTTTAAGAGCCACCACAACTTCTACTAAAGATTCTGTCCTCAGTAATACAGTTATTATCAGTTTTTTAATAATTATGTGATATATATTTATACGCATCAAATCGGGCTTTCAAACGTTTTGCTCGTGCGCAAAATCCGATCCGACGGTGTAAGGTTCATCCAAAGGGCAGCTCGTCCACATAAAAGAGTGCTTAACAAACCTGAAAGTCTCCACACACGCAGACTATCAGGTACATGTTGCACACAAAGGAATTCCAAGTGTGCATGGGTTTTTACTTCGTTCTCTGAAATACAGAAACACGAGCACATCAATTCAGCGCATATTACCGGGCATCTGGGTCGACTGAATTACGCATGGCATCAAAGACTTTTTAGGTTCTTTTAAGGTTCAAGTAGCCTCGATTGCCCGGTCATGTCGATTTGCCCTGTACAACATCAGGAAGATCAGACCTTACCTGTCAGAGGATGCTACACAGCTCCTGGTACAGGATCTTGTGATATCACGCATTGACTATTGCAACTCTCTACTGGCAGGTCTTCCTACATGCACTATCAAACCCCTGCAGATTATACAAAATGCAGCAGCACGACTGGTCTTCAACCTTCCTAAAAGAGCCCATGTCACTCCGCTGTTCATCTCCTTACACTGGCTCCCAGTTACTGCTCCCATCAAATTTAAAACTCTGCTGTTCGCTTACAAAACAGCGACAAAAACGGCTCCTCCTTACTTTAACTCTCTCATCCAGGTCTACATTCCCTCCCGCCCACTACGCTCTGCCAATGAAAGGCATCTGATCCAACCTTCACAACAGGGTCCTAAGACGCTGACTAGCCTCGCCTCCTCTGTCGCCCCCCAGTGGTGGAATGAACTTCCAAACTCCATTCGAAGAAAAAGCTAAAGACCCAGCTCTTTCATGAATACCTACTAACTTAATGATGATGGTTTCGGTATCGTTGATGATGATGATGGTTGTCACGATTGTTTTTGTTTGATAACGATGACTTATAAGATGGTTTCTATACTGATTAGAGCTCTCAAGAACTGCCCTCAATGTTGTGCTTGGCCTCTGGTCACTTCCTGTCAGCACTTGTGTGTCCAATCGGACTCAAAGCTGATCGTTTACTCTCACTGACATTGTTCCCTTTTTTCTAGATCCTTGCTTGTATTGTACTTACTCTCTGATGTACGTTGCTTTGGATAAAAGCGTCTGCTAAGTGAATTGTAGAATTGTTGAATTGTAGAAAGACCCCTATGCTGCCCCAAAAGTGCCCCAAAAGTGCCTGTGTGAGACTTACTCATCTTCAACAACAAATAAAAACCTACTAAAATATTACAGGTGCGTTAGTACATTATGACTGAACAAGATAATGTACAACATATCAAAAGTACAACATGAGAATGGGGGGGGTTCCGAGTGTCCATAAACATGCTTGACATTACTACGGGCCCCACATACACAGAATGTTGAGGGGTAGCTCAAATTCACAAAATGGCATTTTTCAAAATACTTCAATGTGTTAATGCCTGAAAGTAGGCCTACTCCATTTCCTAATTTTGTTCAGTTGTCATAGATACACATTTAAAATAAATATTTCACTGTTTGAATATTCAGTCATTAGTTTTTGAGAAGAGGATGTAAACATGCATCACTGAAAGTTTTAGAGAATTAGTGTACTTATTTAAATAGAATCATTAGGGTACTTTATCAGTATTTTCGTGGTATGTGTGTTTTCATAAATATGTTGTTGAACCGCATCAGAACAGCAACTAAAATGAATTTCTAGCAACGATTCTCTTCTGTCATGGTAAGCCCATCTATCATAGTTTAACACAAATTCTAACTATATCGACTACTTTTTTGGACATGATTTTCATCCAATTCATCAATGCCAGTCAGAGTAATTAACTGAACACTATCTCTATGCAGATGACATTTTCTGAAATATTATAAACTATGTATTGAGTTGGAATATAAACTGTGACACCCCTAGTATTAAAATATACAATATTAGCTTTGTAATGTTGAAATACCATAAACAATTCAAACTTTGAGAGTAAAACAAAGATTTTTCTTTAATTAAAAAATAAGTAGAAAATGTGTTCTAAAAAATAGTTTTTTTTTGTTTTTAGGATGTTTAAAAAAGTTCATGAAGTTGATCTTTATACTACAAGTGTAGCTGGAGCTTTTAACCTCTCCTCGCCTTTCATTCTCCGTGAACCTTGGTAGTTTTTGAAGTATTCCCAAACCCCCACTCTGCTTCTACTTTGTTTTTAGGACGATCAATATCAGCTGAACAGCCAACCGAGCAGCCTCTGTGTCATAATTAACAATAAGAATTTCATGGATGGTAACGTGAGAGAGGGAACCAACAATGATGCTGGTATGTTACACATTAGACACATTCATAAGTTACACTTTTGTTCTCTTTGTAAATCGATTAGCATTGAGCTTTTGATCACCGATTCTCGTGGAAATATTTATGAAACATGAAGTGGGTCATTCATTATTGATTTTGTGGAACTATGTTGTAAAGGGGCACCTCGTGAAACTACCCTGTTACATTTTTGAATTGTCATTTCGATTTTTTTAATGTAGGAAAATGTTTATTTTAATGATTTGAAAGATGATTTGTGTCGTACGACGGAGGATTAGGGCCACGTTAAAAAAAAACGAGATTAAAGTCGTAAATTTGGAAATTTGACTTTAATCTCGTAAATTAACGAGTTCGAGACCAGGCTGCGCGAAAATGATGAAAGTGGAACTCTTAAAGTCTTTAAAGGATAAAATAATAAAGTCGTTATTTTATCTATATCAGAAGAGCAGCAGCATCCTGTTCTCAAATGACAAACATGGAGCATCTTGTCCTAAAGGTTTCACTAATAAGGAAATAGGCTACTTCCTTGTGTAGTTGGTAAAAACTGTTTAAGAGAAGTTTTCACTTCAACTTGCAAGACCTTGTTTATCTGTAAAATGATGAACAGGACACAGACTGGCTCTGCACATGAGACACTTTAACAAGGCAGACCGATAACAGACACAAATAGTTGTGTTGTTTACTTATGCAGATATGAAACTATGATGCTTTTAGCACATCATCATCTTCACATTGTCATAAAATATCAGCACCCTGAAAAGATACTGCAAGAAACTGTGGCTTTTCCAAAGAAAGAACCACACTGACTTGGAGGAAGTTGTCTGCAGGGGAAAATACTTTAAGACAGGGGTGTCCAAAGTGCGGCCCGAGGGCCATTTGCGGCCCTTGAGGGGATTTTTTGCGGCCCGTTACTTCAACTGAAGAATCAGAAGATTTTGGCCCGAGGCCTCGATTAAGATTGGCACATTATCTTATTTTCTTTTTCATGCTAACACGGGCTGAACAATATTCCTGAAATAGAAAATGTTCAGTAACATGTTGTTGTTTTTTATCTACAGCTTTTACTATTTTCCACATTTTTTTTATAAACTATGAAAAAAAAACGTATGCAAAGTTTTTGCAAACAAGCAGACTGTTGTTTAACCATTTAATGACCTGAGCTAAATGCAGAAAGCTTTTCCAAAAAAAATGAACCACGTTACAGGCTTGATTCTGAGAAAAAAAAACAATAAAGTCAAAATATTTGATTTCCTTTTATCAAGGATTCTTTAGCGAGCCTTTTGATTCTGATCTACAAAGCCTTACTATTTTTAAACTATATTTTAAAAAAACAAAACCTGTGGCGATTCTAACACGACAAACAAAAGTTTGGCCCCACTTTCATCATTCTGCACAGGCTGGTCTCGAACTCGTTAATTAGGACTTTAACCTCGACATCACACGTGACCCCTAATCCTCCGTCGTCGTGTCGTTCACTCGTTTGGGTCGCGTTCACATTTTCCCGCCTGCCCAATTGGTGGCGTTAACGCGAGATTTTGTTCAAACTAAATCCGTAGAAGAAGAGTCTACAAATCCGGTGCTCTTCTGCCTCGCGCACGTCGCCTCCTCGAGCGCTAAACAACACAAAGGCCCGCGAGCCTCACCGGGGCACGAGCCAGTAAGGCTATGTAAACAAGTAAGAGCTACTAGGTGTGTTAGTTTACCTTGTCGGTCAAAACAGCCATGAACGATTTTAATTACTGGGAAGGAGTTCAGAAGTAAGTTTGTATCCAGCTGCAGCACGTAGTACAGATGAGCGCTGATATAAATCATCCAGACAGACATTAATCATTCTGTATTAAGATAATCATAAACTGTAGCCGCGATGCTAAGTTAGCTAATGGGTGATAGACTTTACATTCAGGTGTGTTAATATCTATCAGATCACCTGTCCAGCACTAATCACTTTTCTCTTTCAGTCTGGTGGCGATCTTTGATTTAATTTAGTTCTTTGATCAAATTATAGTGTCACATTTAAGATCAAGCATTACTGGACATTTGTAATACTTCTGTTTTCATAATCTGCTGCAAAAATGTTGTGTTTTATTCAAATGTACAGGCCTTTGACTGACTGCTGCTATGAGGCAGATGGCTTGGAGTCAGTCTTTCTTAAATCGATAGTCCAAGTAGACTGTCACAGGTAAGACCATACATACACCCTCAGATACATTTCAAAATAAGAGAAACAATGAACCTTAGAGATCACATAAAACTGTATAACACTCGGAAAAGTTTTTTTATCTCAGGGAGTGACTGGTTTTCTCTGTTACAGGTCGTACCAGTTTAGTTTGAAGTTGACGAGGTCCATGTATCTCCGACGCTCCTCCAGAACACCAAAGCCCTCCAGGAAGATAATCCCGAGGAGCCCGAGCCCCGATGAAGAAGTGATCCAGCGCAGGTGCTTGAGTAAGAGACAGAGGAAGACGGTGCCGAAGACAACTAAAGCCAGCAACAGCGTAGAAAAAACAAATACGAGAAGAGATGGAGACATTCTGGACTTACTGAACAGTACACACGGGTCCAAGAGTGACACTGAGGAGAATGAAGGACAACTTGTAGAGGTGACTGATAGAGGAGTGGACGAGTCAGATGAAGACGGTGGCTCTGTGAACAGCAGCGTCGTTTCTGGTCCTTCCATCTTCTTTGATGTCTCCCCAAAGAAAGCAAGCACGTCGCACTTGTGCTCGATCTGTCAAAAAAAGTACCAGAAAGCAAAAAAGATGAAAGCCCCAATCAAGGACAGACTCTTAGACACTGGTGAGTTCATACATATTTGATTCCAGTAAATAGAGATTATTGTTTTATATGTTACACAATGATTATGAATAAAATGTGCTGCATTTCTTTGAGGATGTGGCGGTTTGTTTTTCTTAAGTGATGTTTTGCAGCTGATTACATTTCCCCCAAAAGTCATGGATTGCAGGCCTGTTGAGTCCTAATAAGTATTCAGATCATGGCCACCAATTTAAGGGAACTTGGAAAAAGCTTTACAAAAAGTTGTATTACTAAATGTCAAACTAATGTCTGGAGTCTGCCAACC